AACAACTGGGATGAGAGAAAGGAGAAAAAAGGAAAGAAGGAAGTGAAAAATATATATGTGTATACAAAAATAACTGGGATAATTGTACTGCTGGTTTCTATTGGTTTACTGAAAGGAACTGTTAATGCTTCAATTTTTTCTTTTTAATTTTTTTAACCAATTTTACATGCTTATTGCTTATAACATGAACAACTAATTTGAAGACAACAATGTACAATATAACAACCAGTGTTGAATTCCTATCATCTTTTCAGTGAAATTCTGTATCATTTTTAATGTTTTTTATTATTTTTATTCTCTTTCAAAAATAAAAATAAATTAATGAATTAATTTTTAAAAAGAAGTTAATGAAATAGAGATAAAAGAACAATACAAAGTGTTAAGCAGGTACTTAGATACTAGCCAACCTGAGGGTCAAAGGAGGAGTCCAAAAATGTTTGTTCTGCATGCTAGATTAAGTAAATAAGCAGAAGCTTCAATGTACAGTATTTTTATCATAGTTATTTATTGGGTCTCAGACCCAAAGACACAAGATCTCTATTTCTAGAACAAGGCCGAGAGTATTCTAGACTGCAATAGCATATAGCAAATGATATCAGAAAAGGAAATGTTCTTTAAAGACTCTTACTGAGGTAGGAGATCAGGACTTGAGCAAATCAGGCGACTAACTGGGTGGAATGTGTCAAAGGTCATAAAAACCTATGGCTAACAGGTTATATGAGCTGTTTCTTAAAAGAAGACATATACAAAACACAGAAGCCAAAATTATGTCAGACATGTGATCCTGAACACTGAACCAGTCAGAAATTGCTATCTCAATTCTTTGTTTGAATCTGGTGCTGTTTCTAAGACTAGTCACACAGGCACATATACATGTTGGCACAGCTGATCAAAAGGCACTGATTCCGATACCTACTTTTCATCTGGTGAGAGGCTTATTTTCAATAGGACAATTTTCAGTAGGACAGTGTACATCTGGCATGAGGTCAAGTGAGTTTTTGGTAGGAGAAATATCCCAGTGCCTACTTGCATAAGGTGAAGATAAGCCAGGTAGGATGGACACAAAGAACACATGTTGCTGTCTCTTTGGAATCATTGGGAGCCTTTTTGCTGGCTTACTCTCTCTCTCCATAGAGTATACTTCTCTTCCCCTTTAATAAATGTACAGGGGCTGGGGATTTAGCTCAGCGGCAAAAGCGCCTGCCTGGCAAGTGCAAGGTCGTGAGTTCGGTTCCCGATACCGGAGAAAAACCAAAAAAAAAAAAAAAAAAAGTACAACCTTGCTGCCTTTGTCTGTGTTGAACTCTTTGTTTGAGACACCAAGGACTTATAAAGAAACCAAATGGGACCTTCCCCCACCCAGTAACACTACCTTAGGCTTGGAACTGGCTTAAATTAATAACATATCTTTTATAAATTTCTGTTATATAATACACGATTATAGCCTCTGAAAGAACACTAATAATATCATCTAAAAAGGTCAAGAAGACATTCTTCAATGCCAAAATAACATCTAAGAAAAATATCAGTAAACATCATAATTACTGTAGTTTTCTGAATCCCAGAAATAACTCCTATGTTCATGAAAAGATATTCAGATTTCCACTTGATACAGATGCCTTTGTGGTGCTGCTTGCCTTCTCACTTGAAGTTGTAACTCTATGCCTACTTTACAATAAATTCTTCCTATACTTCCGCATGGCAGCATGTTTGTAACTGAATACTTTAGTTTAATTTTAATTAGTGCATGTTTGTGGTACATAATGATTACATCCATTGTGAGGAGGTACATGTAATAACACATGTTAAATATTTTAAGTCCACCCTCTTCCTTCCCTCTCTTGGTCTCCATTCTATTTGCAAAAGATCTACCTCCCTGTTTCCCACTATCTATTCTTTCATCAAAGGCACAAAAGGACAAAGGAAGTTCTTCTGATTCCTGAGGCATTGGGACCTACCTTCCTGGTGATAGAATCAAAAAGCATTATTGCCTGGATACATTTAGGCACTGAAACTTCAATAACTATTTTTCTTATAAACTAATTAACTTTTAAGTTAACTGTCTAGAGAATTCTGCCCTATTTTTCTTTGAGCCTTCCATTTGAAAATTGCATTCAACTTAGATTTTGACAGCCAATAATGGAAAAGGCTGAAAATACTAGTCAACTAGTTTACTACATAGATTTTAAAAATAATTGCATTATACAGGCTTATGAGTTAAAGTGGACTTATGGAGCTGAGCAATGCAGTGGAAGTTTCCTCTCCCCAAGGCATGTCCTCCCAACAGTGAGGTTCTGCTGCTTGCCAATATATTGTACAGAGGGCTGGTGACACCGGTGGTAAAAAGAATTTTATCAGTAGACAAGGAATGTAGAAACAGGAGTTAATTTAGATCAGGGTGCACTGTCAAGGGCAACACGGGGCAAGTTTCCAAGAGATGAATCTAATTGTCAGTGTGAGACTGGGGTTTTTATCATCGATAGGGACATGGGGAAAAGTCTAGGTAGTAAATGTGATTATTGGAGGAATGTATTTTGCTTGATCATTTAGCACCTTGTAGATCTTCCAGGAGCACCTGTATTGTGTTTAAAATTATGTTTACAATTTCAGCTTTGCAAAGACCACTACCTCTGGTGTACAGAAGACCGTTAAGATAAGAAAGTCATAAGATTTATGCATATTGTATTAGTTACTTTACTCCTTGCTGAGACAAAATACCTGATACCCAAAGTTAAAGGAGGGAAGGTTTATTTCAGCTCACAGTTTGTGGAGGTTTCAGTCTATAATTGGCTTGGTCTGAGGCACAGTGGCATGGCAGAGGGGCATCACAGAGGAGAAACAGTCCATGGCAAAGCAAGGCAGGCAGAAGGAAGCAAGAAAGTGAGGTAAAATGACCAGATGTAAGCAACAACCACAGCAGCTTTCTGTCCCTTATATTTTACCCAGCAGTCATACCCTTAACCTTAGCATTGCATGGTGACTCAATCCCAGCATTACATCCTTGATCCCAGCAGCACAAATTCTATATCTAGCCACCACTGAAAAGCCCCAGCTATGATCTGGATATAAGCCATAACTCATATCTTTTAGAGAAGATGGGTCTGAACTAATCGATAGGAAAGAAAGGGTCTTAGATCAAAAGGTTTCTTTTTGCTGGTGTTGCTACCTTGTGACTGCCTACAGAGAGCAGGATGGTTTTAATCTGAGTTTGGGTGTTAAGGGTTTTCATACTTTTTGTTGCAAATGGGTGGTTACTATATTCTGCACAGCAACATCTTTTTGTCCTGACCTTTTTCTTTTCATCAAAATCAGTTCTAAATAGTCTCTTGTTTTACTTTTCAGACAGGGTGTTGCTATGTAGTTCAGGCTGGCTATGAACTTCTTACGTGTTCAGCTACAGCTTTCTAGTCCTCCTGCCTCAGGATTGCAGGATTGTGCCCCTGCTCCCAACTTTTTGTTGCTGTTGTATCTGAGGTACTGGAATGGAAAGCAGGAACTCCTTCATACTAGGGAAGTGCTCACCTCCCCTCCTCCAGCACAATTCCAGGCCTAGCTTTGAATATTCCAACTAATGTCTGTTAGGGTTAGGAAATACTGGTCTTTTTCGTCAATTAATTTAATGATCCAGACTATATTGTTTATTCCAGAGGCTTTTCTCTCCCATTTTTTTTTTTTTCCTTATTTGTTCCTACGAATAACTTGGGATATGTGCTTCTGGTTATTTTTCCAAACAGCAAAATGCCTAAGCAGTGGGGAGTTAAGGTAAAGGACAGGCCAGCTCAGAAATGCCTACCTCCTAGGTATGCTGTGACCGGACAGAAAGTAGCTCATGAGCCCTCTTTTATTTTTCCAAAGTCCTTTATACAAGATTGGGTTCAATTAGGATTCACATTTGTCAGTGGCCTGTTATGGGGAAGTGGTGCTTCCCTGAGATGTGCCACCAGGAGGTCGGAGAGGGTCTCCTTGGGCCTCTATAGGCTAAATTCTCCCCTGCCTTGCTTTACTCTGTCTGCAGCTATTAATGATACAGGAAAATAAACATCCCAATCTGAACGATATCTGGGATGAGTTTGTGTTCTCTACAATCAAAGAATGAAATTTAGGAACAACAGAGGTTAAGAGCAGAATATATTTATTGAGGGAAAGAAAGCTTCTGTTCAAGAGAGGGACAGAGGGGGCCTGAGTAGGTTGCCAAGGACCTTGCCCTTCCCAGGGCCTTTACAGAGCAAAACCCCGAGGTGAGGCAGGTCCAAGGTAGGGGGAAAATGGGAAATTACAAGGTGGGCATGAGGTGGGACAAAACTGTGGTTAGCCAATAAGATTATAAGTGTAATTGTTTGGGTAAAATTGAGTAAACTGGGATCAAATGGGGAAGCGAGTCATGTAGCAAGTGGGCATGAATACAGAATAGGGGCTTTACCTGTACGGGATTGTGCTAGTGACTCTTTCTGGCTTTTTGAAGGTGGTTGCTACTTATTTAGAATATCAGTCCCTGATGTTCATACCTAGGGAGGTATGTGCATTTGTTTACTCCTTTTGTCTTGAGGTCTGGCCCACACATATCTTATTTTGTCTTTCTTTTTTTTTTATTTTAAAAATAAACGAAGGAAAATATTACCAAACACACAACAATTTACAAAATAGCAAAAGAACTATACAAACAATACAGAGTTACAAACAAAGTGGTAGGAAATTAACAATGCTTGTTGTATTACATATTGATATCTTTAAAGTGGTTTCTCAGGAAAACAGAGACATGCAATATTGATTAATCAAGGACTCATTAACAGTTTCTTTCAGCAAAGAAATAGAAGACAGTAGAACAACTATGTTAGCTATCCTGTATATACATACATACCACATTTCTCCTTCTTTCCCTTCTCTTTTCTCATATCCCAGTTGCCCTTTTCCCTTGAGTGTTTTCCTTTTGTTTCACAATGTCTATCATACCTCCTAGTTTTTATTCACTCCTTTTCTTGTCTTTCATGTTGGCTCCTTTGAGGGCCTGGCCCTGTCTGACTGCCTATAATATTTCTATCTAACTCAGCTGCCTATAACATTAAGACACTTTTCCCTTTTGATATGGAGATGTTGGAATCTCTCCAGGAAGGTGGTAATTGCCACAGGAGAAAAAGGAGGCAAGTGCCAGGCTGTCAGCCTTTAGCCTTGGCTCTTTCCTTTCCTGTCTTTTTTCCTCTACCCACAGAGTCAGGTGTTCACACACATGCTCAAATCCCCTCTTCCATGGACGCAGAGACTGACAGTGCACATGTGGAAGACACCAGGCACGGCTACATCAGCGAGGCCTACTGGGGTTTGTATGGGGTTCAGGCTGCTCCAAGAGGGGCTGTTTTTTGTGAAAAGTCACACGTTTAAGGTCAGTGTCCACTCTTAGGATATCAGATTTGGGTTTAGCACTGAACAGTACCAGTGTCCAGTATTCACATACATCTCAATTGCAGACCTTGGGATGAGGAAGAAAAACAGGCACTTTCACAAACAATTACACAAGTGCTCATCTAATTTCAGGTTATAGTAGATTAAGCAGTCTATTGTTTACAGTATAGAAGAAGGGATGTCCAAGTCCTGATGATACAGAGAAAATAATTCCCAACCTGTCAGATGTGCTGAGTTTATGGCCTTACAGCATTGAGGAATGAAGTCACAAACTGAAGGAGAAAATTAGGAGAGTTTTATTGGAAATAAGAAGAATAGCTCCCAGATCTCCAGGAGGATTCCAAGTGGGAAACCACTGAGGCTCTTGGTCAAGATTATTTTATACAGCAAAATCACATTGTGCATACCACATGGGTCAAATTACAACCAACCTATAGAATTACAAGCATAGCCACTTAACTAATATTGACCTAATGTGGGAAAAAGTCACATAGCAATGGCATATGGAAAGAACAAAGGCATTCCTGGAAAGGGATGTGAGTATAAATGCAGATGCTCTGGTCACTCACCTATGCATCTGGCCTCGCCGGGCCAGGTGGTATTATTTACAGTTTAATCTCAAGTCACTGTTTATCTCTAGATAGGTTTTTTGGCCTAGCTATTGCATCTCCATCTTGAGGCTGGCCATCTTCACAGTTGTCTCCAGCCACAATTTTGATGCATCTACCTTTTCTGCACTGATTAATTTCAGAACTCAGTGCCTCTCTTGAGTGCGTATTGATTTCCATCTAACTTAGCTGTCTATAATCTTGGCTTTCTCGCTAGGGATACTTTAGGTCTTCCACTGTGTATGATCATGGTTTAGTCTTCACAGCCCCACAGGGGCATTTCTGTCCACATCTGTCTTCCTCTTCATGGATGGATAAAGCATTGCAGGAAGATGCAGGACAAGAGGACATTCCACATGTCATATGCACTTTGTTCATTGGCTTGTGAGGCAAGGTCTTTCAGGTCTGGAAAAGAACCCAGAAAATGTATAAAAGACATTGTTGCAGATTTGGCTTCAATGGATAAAATAAAAATGTTTGCATGGGTGCTCACAAAGGGCCTCTTCCACCTTGGCCTCCTCATTAGACTGTGCTCTCTCGCCCTACTGCCAGCGGACAGGGCAGGGGCCAGGTTCTGAGCACTGCACCTCCCTGGATGAAGCCCTCACAGCTGCACTTCAAGCAAGAAGAAGCCTCTGGGAGCCCAGCACAAGATAGGTGTTTCTTGCTTTTTTCCTCTACCTTCTACTTTTAAAATTTTTATTAGTACATGTTTGCAGTACAGAATGCTTACATTAATTGTGGGGATTAGGTACACGTATATAACACAACACATCTTAATTCTTTTTACTTGATGTAGAGCACTTACTTAACATGTAAGAGGCCAGGGTTCCACCCTCAGTGTTGCAGAGAAAGAAATAAAAGTCATTTCTCTGAAGCCAGAAACATGTGGAGTTTGTGGAATATTGAGAGCTTACAGTGAATGACTATATTGGTTTTCACAGACTAACTAAAAGAAACAGTTTTTTAGCCTTTTAGCTCATCAGCAGACCTTTTGGTGTTATCATCCCTAGCATACCAGGAAATAGAACAGCTTGCGGCCATCTTGAGATAGGATAAAATAAAAGCTAGGTTGAAAGGAGACAAGGAAATCAAGATTTTAACATTGTACTTTTAAGAAAAACTGTAGCTTCAAGACACAAAGTTACTCAAGCCTTTTTCCCTTCCAGTAAATTCACACAAATAAAATTTCTATAGGTCCTGTACAACAAGCCTGTAAATCCTACCTCAGTTTGGTGCAAAGTTGTTTCAACTTTCCCCCAGATTAAACTTAACAATATTTGTTTGTCTAGGAACAGTTTATTAAACAAGAAGAAGCATCCAGTCTAAAAGCCATGACCATTCACTAGAGCACATCAAGAATGCTGGGTCTGGCTCTCCCTCACTTTGAGACATGATGCTATCTTTATCCATAGTAGTCTCCAAACTTTTTTAAAATATCCCAATCCATCAGTAAACAAAAATTTAAGCATGTTCCCCATTCAAAGTGAAGATACAATTAAGCATACACACACTTGGCTACATATAAAGGTACTTTTATAGGCATGCATAAGGCTAATAGATATAAAGTGGTGGAATAAAACCCAGCAGCAGAGTACAACTTCACCAAGATCTGAAACCAAGAACCTGGAACACAATAATGGTAAAGAAAAAAAGAAGGCAATCTCTGATAATCAGAAGGGAGCCGACAGAAAAAGTACAAACCACATAGAAGCTGGAGAAAGGGAGTACAATAAAGAGAAAAGGATAAAGCAGGCTGAAAAACTCACCCCAGCTCTGAGGGAGTGGGACTACACCTAACAAGAAAGGCAAGGCGGGATTCAACATTCACACACAAAATCATGAGTGTGGAAACAAAATAGGTCTGAACAGTGACTCGCTATCCCTCTCCATACCTGGTGGATTCCAATATTGCAGACACTTATGTAAAAATGTGGAAGGATAATTTTGGATCTATTTCTCTTTCTCCTTGCTGGCTTTTTGGGAGGAGGGTGGCTCCTTTCTATTTTCTCCTTATTTTCTTTATTCTGCTCTTTGTTTTTTCTTCTTTTTTTGTTTGTTCTTTTCTGTTACTTTTATCTAATTCTATTAATTTTCTTTTACTTCTTCTTTTTTTCTGTTTTTGTCTTTTTGCGAGAGGATCTCACTATGCAGTTCAGGCTGGCCTTGAGCTCATTTTGTAGCCCAGGCTGGTCTCCAACTTGTCCCAGTCTGCCAGAGTCCTGGGATTACAGGAATGTGCCACCACACCCAGCTCTTTTACTTCTTAGTAGGATCCTTTATGTCACTTTTTCCTCCTCCTTATATTCCTTTTCTTAATTTTTCAAATTTTACTTCTTTTATTTTCTCATTCCACACCCCAACATCTAGTATTACTATTAAACTTTATTAATCTTTATATATTTAGTGGTTTCTATGCTACCACTGTATTGTTGAATTCCTTTCTATTATTAATGATGGTGATGTTGGTGCATTTAGTAGATAGTGGTATATCAGCATTTCATTTGTCTTTCTATGTTATAATTACAGATCTCTTGTTAAGGCTGGTAAGATGGTAGCTTTTATTGTTTCTCATGGTATGTCAATATCCAGTTTGATTTTGACTCTGTTATTGTTGCTGAATTCATTGCTATTGCCAACATGACATAGTTATTGCTATTAATTTGTCTTTATGTCAATATCTGGTTTGCATTTGTGTCACCAATAATGCTGTGAATCAGTCCCAGAGAACTGGGTGCTAAGCCAGTTGCTCTGTACCATCCTCTCTCCACACTAATGGAAGTGGTTGGATCTTGGGTGGAGGCAAAGAGCTATAGCTAGCCAAACCCAGAGTGCATCACTGAAAAGCAGATACCAACTGAAGAGTTTGCCACACTAGCAATAACCTGTCCACTGTAACAGACCTGCAATCTTCAACACATATGCACACAAAATAGAAACATGAGAAAACAAAGCAACAAAGCTTCCAAAAACTCTCAATGGCTCCAAATCAAAACCACAGGACATTCATGGAGGGGAAATAAAAAAATCAAACAGTTGAATTATATGAAATGATAAAAGAGAAGAACAAAAAAATTCAATATGGTGCTCAGTGAGCTCAGTGATATGAAGAGAAAGTAATGGTCTCCATAAATGAAATGATCAGTGAGCTTACAGAAGACACCAATAAAAAGTTACCTGAGCTTGACAAAACGTGAATGACAAGTTTAGCAAAGAACTGGAGTTCATGGTCCGCCCCTCCACCTCCATTGGAGCTGAGATGAAGCTCAGACAACTTCAGGAATGCCAGTGAGCCACTGCCACCCATCGCCCACTACCTTGGGAGCCAAGCAAAGCCCCAGACAGATGTAGGGGCTGGGGGCCACTCCCTACCCTTCCTCCAACCCCAGAGCTGAGCTTAACATTGGACAGCTTTGGGAGTGCCAGTGGGCTGGCTGTCGCCCCACCCCCACAGCTTGGGAGTTGGGCAGAGACCTGGACAGCTTCAGGGGCCTGGGAAACACTCCTTGCCCCTCCTCCCCCTTACCCTACCCCGTTGAAGCTGAGCTGGGCCTTGGACAACTTTGGGAGCGCCAGATTTAAGAGTGCTGGTGAGTCACTGCTGCCCCTTCCCTGCAAGTTTGGGAGCCAGGCAGAGCCTTGGACAGCTTCAGGAGCCTAGGGGGTCACTTTCTGCCTCTCTGCCCCATTGGAGCTAAGCTGAACCTCGGAGAGCTTTGGAAACAGCAGTGAGCCAGCCTGGCCTCTGCCTCACCAGTTTGGGAGCCAGGTGGAGCCCCAGACAACCTCAGGGGCCTTAGGTGTCACTCCCTGCCCCACCCCACACTATCAAGAGAGCTAAACTGAACCTCAGGCAGCTTCAGTGGCCTCAGTGACTGTGCTCGCAACCCCCCACTGGCATGGGAGCCCAGGCAGTGTCTGGAGCCTTGGTGACCACAACCCACCCAATACTACACCCCAGTGGAAACAGGGCTGAAATCTGGACAGCTTTAGGAATGCCTGAGCAGGAGCCAAGTTGATCCCTGGACAACAGTGGGAGCATTGGGGATTGCACTCCACCCTCACACATCATTGGGGGAGCCACACTGAGCAACGGGGATCTTTGGGTCCTTGCTCTGTCACTCTGACATCATCATGGGAGTGAAGCTGATCTTCAAAAATGACAAAATGAAGGAGCAAAATGAAATCACAGACCTTCACATGACCCAGAACAAGTCCAGGATATATCGACACACAAGAGCTTGGAAATGATACAACTGAAATTTCTGAAGTGATAGCAGCTGAAGTAAAGAAACAAAACTCCATCAGGCTGTAGAAGACATCACATCAGAAATAATCTCTGAGGTAAAAAAAAGAAATGACAACAACAATGAAAGAATTGCTTAGCATATCTAAAGAAGACATAGAAAAGAAAATAAAGGAGCATAGTAAATTAATGGAAACCTTGAATGAACAATATAGGAAAGAACTGCAATTCATGAAACATATTCAAACAGATATCCAGGAAAGTAAAACTTTGATCAAAAGCTGGCAAAACCACTGAATAAAGCTGAAGGTAGACTTTCAGATGTTGAAGACAGCATTACCGCAAATGACCGTGAAAGGAAGGATCTCTTAAAAATAACAAAAAAAAAAAAAAAAAAAAAAAAGAAATAACAATTCAACAGCTGCAACACTAGCCAAACAAAAACAATGTAAGATTAACAGGTATCAGTGAAACAGGAGGTGTCAGCACAAATGACATAAAAAAGCTATTTGTAGAAGTAATACCAAAAAATATCTGAAGCAAGGAAAAGAATTGGACATCCAGGTAAATAAGGCATATAGAACTCCAACTAACCATAACCAAAATAAATCTACACCCAGAAATATAGTGATCAAGATCCCAGAAATTTAACAAAAGAACAGAATATTAAGGGCTGTTAGAGAAAACAAACAGATCACCTATAAAAGAAAGACCATCAGAATCATGGCAATTTCTCAACACAAACCATCAAGTCAAGAAGATCTTGGAGTGAAATATTTCAGGTCCTGAAAGGAAACAACTGCCAACCCAGACTGATGTACCCTACAAAACTATCATCCAAAATGAATGGAGAAATGAAATATTTCCACAATAAAGAACAGCTGAAGAAATGCATGAGTGCTAAACCAACCCTATAAAGAGTACTAAAAGATATTCTAGAAAGTCATAAAAAAATCACAACTTCAAGAACAACAACAGAAAGGAACCACCAAGCAGAGCAAGCAATTAAACAAAGGGAAAAGGGAGGAACCAAAAGCAAGAAAACAATATGACAAAGATAAGCCAATACATATCAGTTATATCTGTCAGTATAAACAGTCTCAATTCACCAACCAAATGAAGCAGACTGGCAGATTGGATTAAGAAACAAAATCCAACT